TATGTATCCCTTTATAGTTCATGACTTGATCATTTTAACTGTATTGAAGCATTGTTGTGCTGTCGTAGTCTCACAACGTGGTCGTGAAAGTTTGGTTTGCATTGAACACTACTTTTATGAGCTTGGTTCTTACAATTGGTTTCTCAAGCACATATATAGTCTTTGATCTAATTAGTACTCTTCTTAGAATTTCTAAGACTTTAAAACATCAAAAAGTTTTGACCTGTTCTTTGTTTTGTATTTTGCTAGTCCATGTTAGTTAGTTAGGTTAGTTATTTCATTCACTATTGCATTTATTTGTCAAAGCTTTGTAGATTTAATGATGGTTCTTGTTGTTATGTAAAGTACTTTTTTAAATAATTAATTGCCTGGCAACTCTGGCCTGTCATTATTCTATATTCCTTTTCTTATTATTCATTACTATAGATAATAAACTGAAGTAAAAACTTGTTAAAATACATCGGACCGTGTGTATCATTTTTTTGCTAAAAAATATATAATAGTTCTCTCCACAGCAATATCTCATCATAGATCTCACCATAGCAATATGATGTGTTATGAAAGGTCCTTAGTAATTGAATTTATCTACTAAAATAAGTTTATACAGCCATCGTTCTTATATATAATTCATTAAAGGCAATAATTTAATAAATACAATATTAATATCTAAATCATTTAAAAAAATATTCCTTTGTTATTAGTATTAATGAATATAGGTGATTTAAAAATCTGTATATTGCAACAAATACATACTTGTAGTTAAAAAAATATATTAGAACTACTTTTTATTTATTCATCAATAGCAATTTTATTTATTTATCAACCATAAACACTTATATATGTATAAATGAATTTTTTTTTTAGATATTTTTTTTAATTGAACTATAATTTGTACAAAAAGTAGATGTACCGTAAATTTTGCATTACTAAATTTAGAATAATTTAACCTTGGGTCCATACAATTATATTAATTCTGAAAAGTTTATCAATGCACTTGCACTTGCACTTGCAATACAATCAAAAGTGTACTTATAAAAATATATATTAAATTATATATGTCTTAACTGGTATGCAGATGGTTTATAACATATAAATTGTGAACTTTACGGGTTGACCTATTTCCACGGCAAAGCCAATCTTCCAGTTTCATGTACTCTAACCAATCGTTCATTAGGACTATAGTATTTAGTTGGTGGAGGTGGTGGAACTTTAATGGTTAGTATACCATCAGATGACAGATCCGATATAACTTCATTAGCATTAAATCCACGTGGCAGTAGATATTTACGCACAAAGTGCCGTTCAACTAAACCATTTCCATCATTCCTTTTCTCATGATTACCTTGGACGATTACATAATCATCAGTGGTTTTCACAACGATTTCGTGTGGTTTAAACTGGCGCACATCAATATCCACTTGAAATCTTTTTTCATCAACATAAACTCGTTCACCTGCATAATAATTTTGCCACCGCATCGGATAGCTCCAATCAAGAGGAGATGAACGTATTAATTGATTGCGTACCCGCCGCGTAACGAGGTCATCCATAGGTTTCAATATATCTGACGGCCACCAAACTCGCGGATCATCATATAAATAAGGATACAAATTAAAATCGTAAGGAGGATAATAACGTGGTCGATCTAATTCACGCGAAAGATCGCGATACGTTGTTGGCACAAGCGACATTTTTGCTTTAAAATTTTATATTTAGAAATATTTTTATTTAATTTTATTATTGCAAATAAAATTTTAAACTAATGCATGCAGCTGCTTTCAAAGAATTTATAAAAGTGTTTGCTTTAACTTCCACGTCTTTTATACTGTCTCAATAGACGTGATTTTACATCTCGTTCTTGGCGAGATAAAAATTTTCTTGCAGAAATAGACACTTTAAAAAAATATAAAGAGCATGTAATACACTGTAATATTAAATTATTATATATTTTTTAAATGTATCAATGGCATCAAACTGCGATGTATTTTCTCATATTTTGTAAAACACTCGGACTTTGAAATCATGTTATGTGTTATATTGTACCATATATGAGGACATCATTACTTCAATATAATCGTAAAAAAATCCATTATTAAAGACCACCCATCATACTAAATATGTGTGAAACTATAATATGGAAATTGATTCTGCAGTACGTAACTATTTCGATTATAAACAATATTTATTTTGTTATTAATATGTAATTATGTTAACTATGCTCTACTCATTCCGCTATTTCGAGGTCTTATTCTGTTAAGGTGTTTACTAGTAGTTGTTAAGAAAATTCCAATAAAATAATCGAATCTATATGTAATTTAAAAATTCTTTTGAGATGAAACACTGAAAATTATTTAATCAAAGAATATTTATTAAAATAATTGTTGGTATGTAATATTCTGTATTCGGGTAGATTTTTCTATAAAACCCATATTTTATTTTATATTAAAAATCCATTATGATGAGAAGTGCTTTTAATGTGTGAGTTCCACGATTTTTAGAACCAGAATCATCACAGACTTAATCTAAATTTTTGGTAAGGATCGTTTATATGGTAAAAGGGTTAACGATTATGATATTCGATTTAAAAATAATTTTAAGATCATAAGTTTAACATAAGTTAAACCGAAATTTGTGATTACAGCAGATTCCATCAAAGCTCTGCGAGAATTCAATAAAAGATTTAGTCATAATCTTTACTGAAAGTCATTGAATTTGAATTGAGCATCAAAAATATCAATTAATTCTATTTCGAATGAGTTGTACTTTCCTAAAATCTTCTGAAACCCCAAGCTGGGTAATTGCAAAGAAAATGCTTAATTGTGTCTTTAAGTTTTCAAATCTTCTACAATGAGTATTAAAAACAATATTCAAGGTGAAGATTTCTAAGAAAACACAAACCCCTAGGAAACCCTAGGGATACCTCCAGTAAATCATCAAGGCGGATGCTTGTATTTTTATTTCTTTCAATGTTCGTATGACCGAGAACACAGATGAGAGTGTAGAATTACTATTTTCCGTTTGACGACTACATATGTAACAGATTTCGATCCGAATTTAAGAACTTTGTATAAAATGCTTTAAATATATTACTGAGAAGTATTCGTTTGACTGTTCTTCAAATGGAGTAGGAACTAATTTTTTACTATGTAATACATCTAATTTGATAAAAATATAGTTAAAAATTTATTTTTTTTTCTCTTCTCTATTAATGTTAACAAAATATTGATTCTTAGTTTTGAACTTTTAACACGGAGAAGACCTTTGAAGAGTATACTACGTATCTTCTGTGCTTATATATAAAACGTTGAGTATAGTCTTAAGTATTTTAAGTTAATTTTATGTAAAAATATAAATGTATTAAAATGGTAATTAATATCTTGGGAAAATTTTTATAACTACATATGATGAGATAAAACTTCTAAGTGTATTTTTATAGGACTCTTTCAACACAATTTGTATGTTTTTCACTCGTAGTACAGCATGAATCACCATTTGTTTACATTTCTTGAAGCTAAAGAAAATTGGCTTCGGTCTTCGGAAATACATTTAAATTTAAATAACCTTTAGCTGTAATCGTATTAGATGTAATGGACTACTTTCACGGATTTTAATATATGTATAATTATTTAGGCTAGTTGTATTTTATTGGACAAGCTAATATATAAAAATGTATATTTTATTGGATATTCTATCTTAACTATTTAATATAGCCCTTGTTGGTAATAGAGCTATTTTATATAGCATTGTCTATTTGAACTACAAATTTATGTTAGACTTTTAGTAATTCTTAGTGAAGTTTGGGTTTATCAATATTTATCTTTGAATCGGTACATTACAGATTGAAAGTACATAAGAAATAGAGAGCTCTGATAGCACGTTGCGTAGTACTATATGACATCATGCTGGGTCGTTTAGGTTGAAATCACATATAGGTCTTATCTAAAACATGCTTTAAAAAATATTTTAAAAGATCTTGATAACTATATCTTAAGAGTAGAGCTTTAAGAACGCTTAAATTTATCCTATAATTTGGAATTAAAATTTAAAGATATAAATTATCCATGAAATGAGACTGTTGTCTATTCCTATAATAAAATTCGATTTACACAGATAATAGAGATGGACTAGCAGAGAACACAAAAACATATATATGTACCCTAGGATTAGTATTTAATCCACTTTCACTCACTTATAAACGTAATTACTTGGGTGATTTGTATAGATGTTATTTCTATTATCTTGACTGGAGTAAATTGTTTTTGTTTTTTATGATATCAGACTTTGAAGTGTGGCATATCAGTCACTGGTGACAAAAGAATTTGTGATTTTTAACAAGTTTAACTCTGCATTCTATTAAGTATTCACAGAATCCCAACAGAATTCTGTTGAGTGTTCACAGAATCCCAACATAATTCTGTTGAGTATTCCCTAATATATTAATTAATATTATTTTCATATCCAGTAAGTGATGTGTTTCTAAAAACCAAATTCGCTGTTTTAGTATTGTGATTTTAGACAGACATTCTTAAGTTCTTAGCACTTGTGTGTTTTATGAAATGCAGAATAAAATATTCATCCATCTTAGTATTTTTTTTAAAAAAATCTAATTTTTTCCATGAAATATGTAATACTAAAATAATTTATTTGTTACTCCAAATGAAATATTAATCATATATAGTATGTAGGGATATTTAAAAAGTTATATAGTAAAATCATATTAAAAAGAAATTTTAAAAAATTTTTTTGTTGAAAATGTCATAATCTAGAACATATTTGCATCAAAATAATCCTATCCAAAATATTATTAATTTTTGTAGAATTTCTAAAGATTCCGAAACAGCAAAAATATGAATTTCACAACGCAGTACAAAGCAAAATAAGCCACTTTACTAGACAAACTCAAAAACTTTCCGCCACAAACTTTTTTTAAAAAATAAAAGCAAAATTAAATTTTTAATTTTTTTTTTATTTTAAACTTAACTATTTTTCAATATTACTACTTCAGTTCAATTTTAAACATATAACATATGTATATTTGGTTATATAAGAATATAACATAATTTACAATTAATTCTAAGAAGCGTTTTTAGTTCCATTATCTTCAACTGGATTTTCCTTAACATTTAAATGAGCCGGACCGGTCTGTTGTATAGGAACTTCCCGAGCACCAGGTTTATCTTCAATAGCAGGTGGCTTAGGAACACTTACAGTTAGTAAGCCATCAGATGATAGTGTTGACATAACTTTATTCGAATCGTATCCTTTGGGCAACAAGAAACGTCTAACAAATTGTCTTGATGAAAAACCATGGTCATCTTCGCGATTCTCATATTTTCCTTCTACGATGACGGAATCTTCTAAAACTTTCACCTTTAATTCGCTAGGTTTAAATTGTGCAACATCTATGGAAACTTGGTAGCCATCTTTGCCAACTTTTGGTAACTCTTCCTCTTTTTGTAAGCGACTGATGTGATTCCAAGGCGCCAAACGATATACAAATGGACTCTCATAAAATGGTGAAGAAAATACTGATTGCATTTGACGCGACATCATTTCATCAGCCAAACGAAATATCATTGGTAACGTACGCATTTTGAATTAAAATAATTTATTTTAAATTTTCCGCACGACAACAAACTTTTCACTTCACTTTCCAGTTTGAATTTTCAAACGTAAATGATAAGCGCGGCACTGCAGCCGGCTATTTATACCTATTCCGTTAACATGAAAATTATGGCATACTCATTTGTACTCTTTCTACTCTTTGTTCTATTAACATTTGGAAATTTCTCTACGTTGCTCGTTTATTCTACTGGGTGTATGTACAATAGAGAGAAAAATATATGCCGGCAAATTTTACTTTTCTAGCTGCGTCTAGAAATTTCTTATGAGAAAGTTTATCCACAATGTCTGAATGAGAATTCAAAGCTCACAGCATATAAATCGCAGTGTGATTTATATATGTGTGTGTAGATTGTTGCTGATGGCGAGCAAAAAAATTGAGAAGTGTGTGTATGTAAAAATATTCTAATTACTGAGGGATGAACATGACAATATTAAAAATTGTGAAATTTACTTTTCTTTTTATATAATATTTTTAATAGTTTATTTAAAATAAACCCATTAAATAATAATTATAATATATAAAAAGTATTGTGTATATAAATATATTTTTTATTGAATTAACAGATTATGTTTATTACTATAGTATAGTCATAGTTAGTTATTAGTTAGGAACGAGTTCTCCTCAATTAGCTAAAAAAAGCCACCTTGAATCCACAAAACCTCGCAATAGTGGATAGTAGACATAAAATCAAGCTAGAACTAGCCAGAGGCATTTATGAAGGCAAGAATCTGGCCAATGATAATGCTAGAGATATCGCCGAGTGTGTTGAAGAAGGAAGCCCCCAGAAACTTAAGCCTAATTCTGGCCAAACCTGGGCATAGACACATCAGGTGTTCTGGTGTCCTTTCTTCGAGAGCATTACAGGAGAAACCACAGGGTAGGTCAAGTCTACATTTATGCCGTCCTATGGTCCAGTGCCCTGTAAAAACAGGGCAAAAAAAAATAAAATAATAATTTTATCATTAAAAATTAAATGAAATAAAATTCACTGAATTATAATTATTTAGTGAATTTTATTTTACTTTATTATTTATTATCTGGCTTTATTTTAATTCTTAGAAAATAAAACAAATATAAAAATGTGTATTAAAAGTATGTGTTGTGCGTAAATGTCGGGAAACGCATATTGAACGTGCGAAAGTTCTCGAATTATCTAGAAAGTCAAATAGTCCAATTAGAAAAATTTTAGAAAACGCATAAGTGGTATGCGTTTTTTATTAGAAAATAAGGCGAAGAATTTTCTAATTCATTGTAGAGACAAACATATAGATATTTTGATTGTTTTTAATTTTCTTGAATGTTAAAAATATATAAAATGTTTTTTGATCAATATTAAAATATTTTTTTTTTAAATATTGTGATAAACTTTAATTTATATTGGTATTGTCTCACAAATATTCTTCTTTGATTAACATGTCAAACAAATATTTTTTAATATAATATTGTTGAATTTTATATAATATTGTGTTAAATATCAAAAAAAATTCAGATTCTAAAATAAGAACAACTAAAAATTAATAAAATATATTATTTAAAATATAAGTATATATTTGTATTTAATAAATAATAATATATTGTGTTAAATATTAAAAAATATTCATATTTTCAAATAAGAACAACTAAAAATAAATAAAATTTTGTTAACCTAAATAATAAAATTCAGTTTGAATTATACAATAAATATAATTTAATAATTATATTATATTATATATGTATTTAATAATAAATATAATATAATAATAACAATTATAATTAACTATTTTATTATATTATTGTACTAAAAATTATAAATTTCATTATGCAAACTCAGAGTATATAAAGCATATACATACATATGTATGTATGTATGTATGTATAAATTTATGAAATGTGATTAGTTTCATTCACCGCTTTGATTTTATTTCAACAAAAATGTTCTCTGTTTATTTACCATATGTGTGAGTCAATAAACTTAACAAAATTTTACAAATACAAAACAAACAATGAATTGCAAAATTCAAAACTAATAGACACAAGCAAGAAACTATTGCGGTAGGTCACTTCATACCGGTTTTTATGGTTACTGGAATTTGTTTCAAATTACTTATGCACATAATAACACCACAACTATATAATAAAATTATGCAACAGATTGTAAAATTTTATAAATTAAATTTATATTTTAAATTTAATAATATTAAATAAAATATTTTATTAATTTCAACCAGAATATTCCAGTAATTTCTATATCTGCTAATTTCTTATAAACATGTTAAGCGCTGACTAATAAAGAGCGATAATTTTTTTCTCATCGCTATGTGTGTACGTGCTCATTCGCACTCTTCACTACATCAAATTCAGCGTACAATTCACTCACAAAGTTATTTTTTACTCATAAATGTACTCTTTTTTTAAATGTGAGTGAAAATGGTATTCATTGTTCAGCGCTCTTTGCTCTTGCTTTTTGTGTTGTATTCTTTCTTTTTTTACCGGCTAAATTAAAAAAATAAAAAAAATGTCCAGACAGAAGAGTAATATAAAGAAATCATAAAAAAAATAAAACCAACTGATATTATCATATGTACATACATATGTACATATGTATGCACAATGTGATAATAAGAATACAAATTAGTATAAATATATCAACCCGACAAAACTTATATGAGATTTGCACAATTTTGTTTAAACTTCATTTACTTCTCATTTGTTTATTATTAAAGCTGCTCATTTGTTTATTAAAAAATTTGCTTATCGGACTAAATCTCAAATAAATATAAACAAATTTTTATAAATAATATATAAAATAAAATGATATACATACATATATGTATGTATATAAATAAATATAATTTTCTCCGTAAAAATATGGAAAAATAATTAATATGAAGTAAGGATTTTAGTAATAATTAAAATATGTATTATTTTTCAAGCATTTATACTAAATTTTCAATTTTTTTTTAAAACCATTACTTCAGTTTTCTTCCTGCTTTTTTTTCTTTTATTCTAGTCTATATTGTGTTATTAGATAATATTCTAAATGATTAAAATTTATTAACTACAAGAAGTTAGCTTCCCTGCTAAAAACTGGCTAACTTATTAGAATCTGGCTTCCGTACTAAAAGCTGGCTTCTCTATTAAAAACTGGCTACGCTGCGAGAAGCTGGCTTACCTACTAGAAGCTTGCTACCTTACTAGAAGCTAGCTTCCGTACTAAAAGCTGGTTTTCCTACTAGAAGTTGGCTACCCTACTAAGAGCTAAATTTCCTACTAGAAGCTGGTTTCTTTACTAGAATCTGGATTCTCTACTAGAAACTAGCTTTTCTACTAGAAGCTGACTTATCTACTAAAAGCTGGCTTACCTACTAGAAGCTGGCTTCTCTACTAAAAGCTGGCTTACCTACTTAAAGCTGGCTAATCTTCTAGAAACTGGCTTCCCTACTAGAAACTGGTATACCTACTAGGAGTTGACTTACCTACTAGAAGCTAGCTTCTCTATTAGATGCTAGCTTCTCTACTAGAAGCTAGCTTACCTACTAGAAGCTGGTTTTCCTACTAGAAGCTGGTTTTCCTACTAGAAACTGGATTACCTACTATTAATTAATATATATCAAATTGTGAATTTGTAAATATACATATATCAAATATTGTTAGAAGTTCGTTAACTATTGAAGAATATACTAAATCCTGCAGAAAGTTCTTTGGTATAATAACAAACTAATATACAACTTAATAATAACGTACCATAATTGTACATGGAACTTCAAACACTCTTCTTATTTTATAATGATATAATAATATTAATTATTATATTATAATGATATTATTTATTCATTTATTTATAACGTTGATATACCAATATCTAAGAGACTAGAAAGTGCTGACAGCTGAGCCCTTAGACTCATATATAGAATTAAAAAACAAAATAATAATAATACAATAATAATGTTAAGCTAACGAAGTAAATTAATACTATTGACATTGGTATACACAAGCTATGAGTAAGCTAGGCTAAGGTAATATGTCGAGAAAGACATGTTTTAAATGAGATTCAGGCATCCAATTTCTGCCAGGAATTTGTAAATTGATTCGATGATAGCTGAAGTAGATTGAGTTAAAGGGAAGGGGTATTAAGGTCAAAATGAGTTTGTCTTTAATTGAGAAAGATGCGAGTGAAATATGAAGAGGTCACTTAGGACCAACAAAAGAGCCTCATTATTCTTAACGTGACAATGCAACAATTTGATTTTTTGAGGATATTCTAGGAAATGATCGTTTTGTGCCATTCGAATTGAAAGAACGATTATAATGTTGAAAGGCTTGTCACTTTTACTTTTTTACCTTTAGAAAAAGTAATGTAAGGAGAGTATAGAAGGGATTTCGTCAGTACGTCGCCGCTTCATACCAAGATATACCTTTACTTTTATAATACATACCATATACCTTTATTTACAGAATAAAGCTAAGAATGCTTCTTGGAGTGGATCGATAGCAGAGTTTTTCACTTAAGGCTGTCCGTATTCATATAATAGGAGTTAAGGATTGCTTGTACGGCAGATATGTTATCGAGGAACACTACGAATTTCCTGTTTAAGGAGATTGAATAATTGAAAGGAACTTTAATAGGGTTGCTCCCTATCGATCTCACTTTTGAGGAAATTAAATATTTAAAAACAACTTTGATATGATACGCTTCTACACTAAAAACAAAAACAAATGCATTATTAGTTAGTCAACTTCCCGAGATTGAAGAGATTAAGATTAAGATTGAATTACATTTTATTGTCCAAGGAACTAGACTTGACTTTAAGGCTGCTTTACGTCCCATCAAAACGTTCTTCATTCTGGGAACTTAAAATTGAAGTTTTCAGTCTAGTCTAGAATAGTCCGAAAACAAGAATGACAAACTTTCCTTATTATAATACTAATCCAATCGGCGAGCTTTAACACTTGATTTGCTATATTTATATCAAATATCATACATCTTGTATAATACTGGATATAAAGAATGTAGTGGTACAGTGTTTAATAAGTTTAATAGACTTTTATAACGAAGATAAAATTTATCAAAAAAGCTGACAGTAAGTAAGGTTTGAATTTATTAGTATTTTATTGAAATAAAATAAAATAAAAAACAAAAACATATAACGATCTAAAAGCAGCGAAATTCAATGTATATATGTAGCCCAAATTTTTATCAAACATAAAAAACGAAATGCTGTACGTACGGTGCAATACCAAGAATTAAAGAATATAATTGACTATACCAATATGTAAAAGGCTGTTTGGTGAAATCTTCTTTTCTATCTTTTTTGGTACAATACATACAAAATAAAAATATGGATTTTTTCACTTAAACCTCACTTCTTTTTAATCTGCAGTTGTTATTTGCAATTTTTTTACTGGTGAAATTGAAAACAAACAAATCGCCTAGACCAGTGTTTCCCAACTCACAAATTTTGTAGGCTTTTGTTTAATTAAGAGTTTATTTAAAAACATCCAAGAGTGGTTACAGACACTATTGAGGAGAAATACTTGTGAAACTAATTCAAATTGCATTAAGCAAAAGCGAGAAGAGAGTTAGGTTAGGTTAAACCGGCGATCCCAGGGGGATCCACTTAGGCCCATAGGCCCATTGTGATACCGTATTATTTAGAAACCCATGGGCTAAAACCATCCAGAACCTTTAACAAAGCTTACAATGCTACATAGAGGGAGTTCTCGAAGTTCGTCAAGATCCTCAAAAAAGAAAGCCCCCAAAAATTTAAGGCGACGCCGTACATGTGCCGGACACGAAGAAAGCAGGTGAGAGGCACTTTCGTCATCTTCACCACAACTGGGGCAAAAATGGTTGAACGGTAGATTCAGTCTCCTAGCGTGATTACCTAGAATACAATGACCTGAAGAGAAGAGAGTTAAAAACAAATTAAAATAATAAATACTATAGCTTATTCACATAATAATTGTAATTTTCAGTAAAAACCTATTCACACAGCAAATCTTAATTTTATCTTATTTTTATTCTCATAGTTGATTCTCTTAGTCATAGAAATAAGCACGGTATCAGCTCTCAACGAAGCGGAATGCTGCGACCATGGTTGATCTTTTGTGCTTTTGATCCGTTAGTCATATAGTTAACTATTTAAGTTGCGGTCGGATATAAAAATACCAAACGTTGAAGTGATATTTTCTTTCGGTTAAGTTTATTATTGAGTTGAGTTGATTTTATTTACAATATAACGCATCATTATTGATTATTAGATTATTTTGATTTTATGAAATTGGATTAAAATTTGAACTTATATGCAAAATTATTATTAGTGATGCTGTGTGAACAGGAAATTAGAAATTAATTTGATTTAATATGTCTTTGGTCGTTAAAACCGATCATATGTATAAAAAAAGGAATAAAAATGATAGTAATTTTTATAGAAGTATCTATATTTTATAAATCATTTATATATATTTTTCTTACTTCTTTTTTATTTCCTTTGTTATTTGTACATCTGTTTTATTGTTTTATAGTAAGAAAACATTAAGTATAGCAAACCAGTTATATATAGCAAACCAAATTTGACTTTAAGAAACTGTCGTTTTATTCGGTTGGTCGTTATAAAAGAGTTCAACTGTATAATATTTTAGAGACCATTGTTTAAGAGACGCTGGTCTAGAATATAAAACAAAAAATTGAACAATGTGGCAAACAATAGGAATTTTCCATTGCTTTACAAATGAAATTTTTTTAATACAGATATTTAAAACATTTTAAAAATTTAAATTAGAAATAAAATAACTTTTATTAGCAAAAATTTAATAAAATATTAAATATATGTGAATAGATATTTTTATCGAAATGAATATGTATATATGTAGACTTGTTATAGCGACATATACACTCAACGGAATTCAAACACCTGCTTCTTCTTCAATTTATTACAAAACAAAGTTTGAAGTAATTTTTTTAAAAATAAAGTTCAACGAGTATTATTTAGAATTAATCAAAAAAATTGGTAGTTAATATTATAAATCATAAGATGAACTATATCATATACCTATACATGTATTTGTAAAACAAAGAAATATTAAAAAGTTTTATCAAACAATTTAAATCCTATAGTGAAAGAAGATGAGACATCCATATAGTACGTAGAAAACTGGATCTGACGACATATTCATATTGAGACTAACCTCTTAATTTAGCTATCGCTTCAAAAATTATTTATTTAGAATTGAATGGATCAACAACTTTTTGGAACGTAACTCAGAAACACGAATTTTAATTCATTTATTTAAAATTTAATTGTTACTAAGAGTAACACAAAATATCCATCCATTGGAATTCATAAAGATGAGTTCTAATCCATTCATTGCTTATGACCCATTTTAGATCCAAACCCACTTGAACTTAATTTTTACTCTTTACTAATATTACAAAAATACTCACTTTTTGAAATTCAGAAAGACGAGTTCTAATCCATTTATTGCTTATGATCCGTCTTACCTCCTACGCCCACTTGAACTTAATTTTTACTCTTTAAATATATTACAAAAATACCCATCAGTAGAAAATAAAATTAACGATTACTATATATGTTGTGTATATATTTTTTATTGTTGATTAAATAGTAGTGATATAAATATTAATTAAAGTTATTGTTACATTAACAATTTAATATTTAGAAATTTATTTTAGTTCATTTCTATTCAATTTTGTTGTTTTAATTAATTTTTAAAGTCCTTCTCTTTGAGACCATTCCAACCATGATCCAGGATAGCTTTTAGAGCTTAAAATAGAAAAAAAAAATGAAATGTCATTATAAACATAAATATATTTGAATTTCAAAATTTTATGTTTAATGTTTAAATTCTAAATTAATTATTAAAATATATATTAACTAATTATTATATTATAATATTATTTTTATATTCTTCATGATCATTATATTATTTTTATATTCCTCATTATATAATTAAATTTGAAATGATTTTATTTTAAATTTATACTTTATTATCTTTCATATTTTTTTTTATATTCGAATATAACATACACATATGAATAAATTATTCATTTATTATAATTCCAGAAAATTCATAAATAACTTAACTAGAAATATTTAATTGTTTCATGTATTAATTATGAAAGATATAAAAGATATTATTATATAGATATAGATAGATATAGATGTAGATATAAAGCTGCGTGTAAAAATTTGAATTCGGTTAAATAAGTGATCTACGAGTTCATCAAAAAACTTTTAGTAGGCAATTCCTTATAACAATATTAGTATTAAACAATATAGTGAAAAAGAATTTCATATAAATTTATATTTGAGAAGATAAGAGAGATAAACTGCATACCATGTGCTTGGAAAGTGTCCGGCACTTATGCTCATGCGGAAAAAACACCTAGAGCGGTATTTCATGGATCATATGTTAAGGATTCAAGACTAGGAAATATAGGCTCTGTACTGTCTTTCATTAAAGAAATCGGATTTGGAGAAACACTCTAATCCGACTAAAGGGAACAATAGATTTTTTAAGGGAATATTCCTGATAACATAAAAGTTTATTTTATATAATCATAAAGTACACATATGTATTTAAAATTTTCTTAAGTTCTTAAACTTAGCTTATAAACATAAAAATTGAGAAGTGATATATTCATTTCTTATCACTTATTAATAATATTTCCCAATACTAAAATATGCTTAATACTTACTTAATATAACCGAGATCTGTAGCAATAGCAGTAGCATTCGCTGCACGTCGACCAGACTGACATGTGAATATAATTACAGCGTCCATTGCTGGTTTTTCTCGTCCATAAGTTTCCAAAAAACTGGCATCACCTCCAGTTAAAGCTTCCTGTAATTCAGGCACTAATAAAAAAAAATTGACATTTCTTTAAAATTAAATCATTAATTGATGATATATTTTTCTGAAGTATAAATTGTATACTATACATAATTAGTTTTTAATTTATTCAAAAAGAAAACCTTATTAATTTTAGTTGAAAATAAATAAATAATCATTAATATATATTAAAAATTTTTATAATATAAGCAATTAACAATAATTATTTCACAACAGATTTAACCTACTGTAGGGTACAGGTCATAAAATTTTCGATGATTAAGTCATTCTCCCCTTGTTTACTTGAATTCATCTGACTTAATCTTGTTTCTTCTTAATGATCGCATATTTGTTGTGTTTAATAGCTTTGCTTGAGGTTTTATAAAAGTATATAAAATTATAAAAGTTTTAAAAATAAAACTAAGAACAAAGCTTCTAATTTTTTTTGCATAGTCACGGTTAAAAGAACTTTTAAACAATTTACTAAGCGTGTGTAAAACCAGTTGGTCAATACCGGCTTTGTTGATATGTATTTATATATATAATATATAATATTATTCTTTTTTAAATAAAAAAACATTTAATGTTTATTTTCAAAAATATAAGTTCTACTCTAGATTGAAAATCATAACATGAAATATGTAAGACTTAATTCTATTTATTCTCTCTATTCTATTTTCTCAGTTATTTTGTGATCCTAAATGTCACATGATGCCTTGACAGTTAGGGACCATGGTGTTAGATAATATGTCGATTGTGTTTAATCTTTGGTGTTTAGATTAAATTAAATATCACTGCTTTGTTTTATTTTATGTACCTATATGGTCTTATTATTTATATTTCTACGGCTTATGTGATGTCAGTATGTGCTTATGCGTTAAGTTATATATGTGTATATGTATGGTATATATGGTAAAAGTTACTTATTGTGTGACTAAGTTCATTTATTACTTTTATTTGATCTAATTACGGTCTTTCACCATTTTTTCACTTGACCATCGTTCAATTAAGATAGTAATGTTATTGAACTAAAAGTCAAAATAAATAATCTTCTTCGCTTTCTCAAAATGTTTCTATCGATATCCTAATTGTCTATATTATCTTAACTTAAAACAATACGGTCTGATAGTCAACTCCAATCTTGTGTTATCTCTGGTTTTTGGCTTATATTATGTTTCTCAAGAAGTGATGAAATTTGAAGTTGGATTATAGTAACAATCAGTATATTATCCCAAACATATTTCATCGACTTGTTTGGTGTTTGGCTGACCGACCAGAGCCTGGTCCCGGGTCCGGCGTTCAGTTATAGTTTTCTCACCGTAAACTGAATAAATTTTTCGGTATGCTTATAATAAACATATTATGCAGATATAACAAATCGGGTTGTTATCTTCGAAAAAAATGTGTTAAGAAGAATAATTATATATAATGCATTTAAGGCTAAGGAAATGTAAACGTGAACAGAAATTAAAGAATTATAGCGTTCCATTATTATTAAAAACTAAAATGAATAATCATATGAAAAGAGTTTTGAGATATTGTGATTCAGAACCATCGAAAACATTCTGAAGGAAAGAAAGAAGATATAGAGTGAAGAAGTAAAACCGCACTGTTAGCTATAGTACTAAAATGAACGTATTAATATGATTTTGTAACATTGCGAAAACAATATTAATAGTACATAATAATAGCCATTTTACTTAATGATATTTATCGTGATAGTGGTTCTAAAGAGCAGAAATAATCTGTTTTTCAAATTCTTTGTCAATGCACACCATTAAGTCTAGAAATTTTTTGGGCACTTATGATCCTTATAAAGTTCTTTCTGACTTGTGTATAAACAACACTGATCTGTAGTATTAAAATAGACATTATTGGAGCTGAAATATGTTTTGGTGCACAAGACCGCCACTCCAACCATAATCAAATTGGCAATTAAAAACTGTTGAGTAAATGTTATAGTATTAAAAACTAAAGTAAGTCAATGTATGCATCATATAGGATATATGCTCATATTTTTCAATAGCAGAAGTAGAATACGTACTTGTACAGACGAATTTTTTACACACAGCTCCAATAATAAACTAATATCGATTAATGAAAGTAGTACATGAAAGAAGTACACACACATACACGCAAAAGTATCTACTGTGTATAATATTGATTAAAACAAAGTCTCTTAATATTTAATTAATTTAATTAATTATTTTGAACCACATAAAAAATATTATTTCTTCTATTCATTAGCAACAGTTGATAACCGCCATATTAAACCACTTATATAGAACATCTGTTTTCTAAAGTAATAGCATTTTAAATACTTGACAAAAAAATTAGACAATTTTATTAAATATATTTTTTCAATAAACAATTTAGGAAAATAAAAAAAATTTCCATTATATTGTATTGTATTGTTAAATTAATAATAATTTAATATAATTTAGTTAAGCATTCTACTTACATGGTATGTTAATGCTTCCTGGAATAGAACCGGTATTCGCAATCTCATCTCTGTTTCGTACATCAATTAAATATTTCTCTGGATGATTTGGAATGTCTTTAACTTCCTCATAAGTTGCCATTTTTAATTTCCACTAAAAAATAAACTATTCACTTGAGCGGTGTATTAGTAACTAAACTTAGCCAAACAAACTGAAATCAGTTTCTGTAAAAGTTCTATCGATAGATACACTATGTCTACACCAATGAACACGTAAGAATACAAATATAAATGTGATTAACCAAACTAAACAGCTGAACACTTGAAAAGAGAAATCACTGAGCTTGTCTTACCTAATTATAATAACAAATATAATAAATATTTTTCCATTACAAATATTAAAACAAATCATTTCAGTCAGATAAACTTTTAAAAAAATAGTTAGCATAGAAGATTTTTGGTACGCTACATTGGTTTATTATTTAATATTTTATTTTAATTTGTTTTTATGAAGCTCTGTATTGAGTTGCATTTAATCGTTTACACTTTGTTGTGTTAATATAAAGGATTAAAATAAAATTTCATTTAGAAAACTACATTTTATTTTCTTTTTAATTACATATTGAAAAGCACATAAATAGTACATATTACATACATGTACATAAATACATCAAACAGAGTAGTTATCAAAGACAACATGTATTTAGTTTAAAGTTTTCCATTTTACATTATAGACCGTTTAACAACCATTGTACATTAAAATTCTGAACATATAAAAAACTATAAATAATATACATTATATAACAAAATAATATAATTATAGTAAATAAAATTATATTAAAATATATTAAAAAATGGCATGGTTTTTTTATAAATGATTTTGGATATTATTATTATTATTTAAAAAATAGGCTATTTGTGCACCCCGACCTAAAAGATCTATTGTGCGCCTATAGGCCCAACTAGGACAATTTTAGACTATTTATAAATCTTATAATTGCAGTGGGCTTAATTTTACCTATTTGATTTGGGACCAGGATCCCGCTACTAATCGAGTCTACGTCTTGCCACCGCTGGGCAGTTGCATAGAACATGTTCTGATGTTTCCTTCTCCTCATGACAGAGTCGACAGGAATCACTTTCTACCGCACTTATAATCTTCATGTGGTAATTAAGTCTACAGTGTCCTGTAAGTTTTATTAAACAAAAATTTTTTATTTGGATATGTTTCAAACAAAATTATCAAATCTGGGGTTCAATGAAAATTCACATTGTCTCCACAAAAAATCACTTTATTGTATGGCATTTTCTTTAGAAATGCGATATGTCCACACTGTTTTAAAAATGACTAAGATGTGACACAAGTCATCAAATCTGATCGTTACAGTCATGAGAACGAAATAGGGACCAGCAGAAGAAGATGGCGACCAAGAAAACGATTGAAAGACAGTGTATAGCAGGATTTAGAAGAAATGGACATAAGAAATTGGAAAACAAAAGCAAGAAACAGAAGAGAATGGAAGGATGTTTTTAAACAGGCTTACGTCCTACTTAGACTGTATAGTCACGGATGATGATGATCGTTACAGCCATATGATTGCAATTATGATATGGTACTGTTAGCAAAGACAGAAGGCAAACAAATTAAAAGAAGGCTGCGTTCTTTGAGATTTAGTTGTAAATATGGAGAAATCTCTACTTATGATATTTCCAAGACACTCAAAACGATAAAAAACTTTTACATAGGTAATAAAAACTAAAAATTTCTTTGGCATAGGTGGATGCATAAAAATGGTAGCTGCAGTATACATGTAACACAAAAAAATGCCAAATAAGAGTTCAATAGGACTTTGAAGCATGTAATGTCAAACAAATATGTAGCAGTTTCCATTAAGTATAAAGAATATGAATCGTCGATAAGGTGGTCTCTAACTTATGCGATACAAGTGTGGCGAATAAATTGATTATGCAGAAAATCTGTTATAGTTTTATAACAGAAAGTTTTAAATAACTTTCCAGCTATCCATAAACATGCGTAGCTTTATGATTCCCATAGGTACTAGTCAGCTAACAGTACATACATAAGTGCCTTCAAGACGCATATTGATTTATCAACTGCACTCTGAAATTGTCTAAAAAAAACTGCTATAATTTATATCATACTGGGCTCTTATTTGATCTTAAGTGGGCGTTGGTACTGTAATCTTGGTTGCCACTCTAATCTGACTACAATGAAGCAAGTCTTAGAGCAAATAGTTTTATTCTTTTAAAATTGTACTGAAATGTTGACCGAAATTCAAGAGCCCTTTATATGGGTGATGTAACAAGTTCCAGATTTTGGCAGTTAAGGGTATTAGAAAAAATCAGAGAAAAACAATGGGCAATGTTTATAGAGAAAGTAAGAAGTAACCTCACAAGAATTGTATTCATTCAATGCATAGAAAATTGCATAAAATAATGCACAAAAAAAAAATTTTAAAACATATTCTTGCCTAAATATACATATGTATGTATGTGAATTACCTGAAATTATTATATATGAAATATAAATTAAATTAAACCCCAAACAGATGATTACATCAGTCATTACCGGAAGATTGAAGATAAAGTAGATTTTAAATGTGATTAATTTTTAATATATTAATAGAAACAACTACTTACTAAAATAAATAATTATAAGATCAGATTGTTTGTATAAAAGTTTTATTTATTTTTATTTTTATAGGTATATCCAGAACTTCGATATAAGCATAGTTTGTATAAAAAAAAATAATTAATATAGAATTGAATTATTAAATTTGTGAAAATTTTTCATTTTATTTGCATTTTTGTTTACAAACTTCTGACATATGATTGGAATATTCGTTGAGATTTCTAATGAACGTTCACAATAGTTCACATGTTGCGTTGGTAATCCTTTATTCTTTACTGGCTAACATACTTGGCCACTTCACAACTAGGTGCTTAGACAGAGAAAGTAGTGTTGTTGTTTTGCGTATATTTAAGCAACTATAGGCCTAATATAACATCACACACAAATGTTTTTGGTTATGATTTTATTTAAATGCTACAATGTTGGAATATGGAAGAGCATTGTTTATCCGTGTTGAAAACTCTGTCGATTCATCGTATGCATCCAGATATATGCTTGTACCCAAATCAGTACTTCTACTGAATAAACCATTTACTGCTGGTTCTATAAAGTGTCGTTCGACTTTAATTTCACCATATAATATGCTAAGCTTATTTTATATTCTGCGATAATAAATCCTTTTTTTGATTTATTTTGAATGACATTAGTTTAATTTGGGACTTATGAGCTCAAATCTGAAAATCTTTTTTTTCCAAGACATCTAAGTCTTTGACAATAATGGATTAAAATGTAAAAACTAAGATCTTATATGGTTAAGAGATTTTAATTATAAGAGATACAAGTTTCATGTATTCATTAATATACAACAAATAAATAGATAAACATTTTTGCTCTAGATATTATTTCCCAAATTCGACTTCGTTCCGGTCAAAAAGAGGGATTCTTCATATAACTTTTAAGAATGTTCTTTTTTTATAGTTTGATTTTAAAAATTAATCTTCTTCGAAAAGGAAGGAGAAGGATGTCTGCGGTAAAAATATTTTTGTATTGATTCGTAACAAGTTAAGTGATGACTTGAAATTCGAATCGTTTTAAATAAAAAATTTTTTTTATTAACAATTTGCTGTAAGTAGAAAACTTGGTTAATTCAGTAATTTTGTATATATAATTGAATATAGTTAAGACTAAAATTAAAACATATGGCTGGGCTATATGTATATGTAAACATTTGGGCTTGCTTTGCATCTAATCACACTTGACCAGTTTTGGTTTATGTTTCCCGAGATATGTATGTATACATGTACATTAAAGTCGTTAAGGTAAACATTGCTTCCCATTAACTTTCTTCTAAAAAGCTGGTCACCTTAGATCATCAAACTTTAGTGTTAAGAATATTCTTATAGTAAGTACAAGTATTTTAGTACAAGTACATGAAAGCTAAAATAAACAATTATGTTTTAAATTGCTTTATATAGTAGGATTTATAAAATGTTTGTGGAAATTTAATTTTTTTATTCATTTAATAAATCATTCATCCATTAACAATAAATTTGTTTTTGCATATGATGAAGAGGAACTTTGAACAATTTTACAATTTACTCTTTATTCAGCATCATCGCTTCAAATTGACTCAACTCAACTATATAAAAAGTTTGCTCTCATTTGAAACTGCTCTCACTGCATATTTAAAAATAAGCTCTTTTAATACATACTGATTTCGATTATTTAGTTTTACATATGTATGTATATAGTTGAAGTATTATTATTAAATAAAATCACAAATTCAAGTTACAAATGTATATTATGCGTACTATTATGCGTATTTGTGCCGAAATATACAACTGGACTTCTTTGAACTCTACGGTACAGCATAAAAACTTATATATGTATGTAAATAAGTACATACATATATAAAAGTGTATGTATGCGCATAAATATGTATTCAGTTTATAGACATAGACATAATTTAAGATAATATAATTATATATGTATGTACATATGTACATTTTTATGTGTTAAAGGTATTTTCCTTTTCTGGTAAATAAGTTTGAAATACATAAAAGCAAATACCGGCCGGCATTTTTATTCTTTCTCCCAAAGAGTACTCGCTCTCTCATTTTGAAACTGTTGATTTGAGTGATTTTGTTAAATAATTTCTACACTCTTCTAGATGCTTTTGCTAGAATTTTTTTCAGCGCAAATTTGCGTATAAAAGCAGAGCAAACGTCGGCAAGAAAACAGTTTCAAGTATAAAGCAGATTGTGAAAGTTTGTTTGAAGCAAGTTCTATCTGAAATAACCAAAGAATTAAAATGTCGCTAATATTGAGCATGTTAGATGATTTGGATCATGAGATGCATAATCCATTCTATGATTTTGGTATTGGATTACATCCTCATCATGTTCAACATCAGCCACGTCGTCACCATGATGCGATTGCTGCACACGCCATGCCATTAGGCGTCTACAATCGTCCTTTGGTACGTCGTAATATGCAACAAAATGGCGGACCAGTATCAACTATCGGCAAAGATGGTTTCCAAGTTTGCATGGATGTGGCTCAATTCAAACCGAGCGAATTGAACGTTAAAGTTGTCGACAAGCATATCATTGTCGAAGGCAAGCATGAAGAACGTGCGGATAATCATGGTTATATTTCGCGTCATTTCGTGCGTCGTTATTCTTTACCCAAAGGGTATGATTCCGACAAAGTGGTTTCAACTTTATCATCTGATGGTGTTCTAACAGTTAGTGTACCAAAACCACAGTTGGAGGATAAATCCAA